GTCCTCTTTTGGAAGACCAAACAAAGTAGTTTCGCTTTCACAACGAAGCACACAGCGTCTTCACGACATGGCTGCAGCGTCAACAATACTACAGCGATAATAAAAGTTACGCCTTCTTTCTTTGCATGAACATTTAGGCGGCGTTATGCAAATCTTCCTAGATCGTGACGTAGATATGTGGGGGCGTGTTAGATCGAGCCGTTTTAGGTAGGCGTGGCTGACTCTTAACTTTTATAAAGAATATCTCTTTGGATTTGAGACTTTAGTCTTTGCAACTTTACAGATCTTCTTTATGCACCAAGAGCTTGTAACACTCCAAAGAGAAAGGAAAAATTGAAATTGCATCATATGACCCCTTTAATACTGATTTAATTTGATTAGTAACTTATTCTTCTTATTCTACTTGTTGTTATTATATGGTTTTATCTAGAATTTTTAAAAAGCTTATAAATGTTTTTTATTTTTTTTATTTGACATAAAAGATTACATACTTTTAATAAAGATAGAAAAATGCCATTACAAAGGTAAAAACAAAATTCTACTGTAAATCACTTTGAGTCAAATATCACCTCGTAATGGGAAGGCTATTTTTTTGATCAAATTTTGGTGCTCCTAAATTTTTGACTGTGCTCCTACATTTTTTAAGTTAGGAGCACAAGCGCTCCTAAAAAGAAAAATAAGCGTAGAGCCCTGTGTGGTGACACTTTCAGCTAACGGCATTGCTAAAAGCCACCATTACCGGCTCTGAAACACTCACAATGAAAAATGTAAAGCATATCTATAACAGCTTTGCACACCCGCACCAACTGATAACAAGGATAAGCCCACCGAGCACAGCAATGAAATGACGGTTCGTTTACTAACTGGACGCATAACATGTTTATGTCGTATGCATATGCAGAATCAGATGCCAATACTTTGAAAGGGACTGATCTGGCTTAGTTTTGAGAATGGGAGATGCAGTCACATTAATGGTCCATGCCAACAACGTCCCATGCAAATGTCCCAATTGCATTGTTTATGGATTCTGCTTGTCAACAAGACCGAATGCTTCTCCAGGCTGTTGACAATCTGAGTGCTTTAAGAATGCCTAAGACAACAGACCGTTTGCTGAAAATATTTACGGAACATGAAAACATCAAACACTCATGCAGACACACATTTGTTTTGTTCCGTGTGTAATCAGAAGCTGACACAGTTACGCAGAACTTTAAAACAAACGACCTTTGGAATAACTCATTCAGTGAGCAGGAAGGACGGAGTGTATGATTCTCTAAGAACATGAATTCTTCCTCCAACTAAGTGCACATATTGTACACACAGAAGAATGAAAAAGAAAATTCACAGTTTAAACCTGAACCATAAAACAAACAATAGATTACGACATAGTGATATTTTTGTGTTGCAGTGAATGTAGGGTGACCATACGTGCCATTTTCCCAGGACGCGTCCTGGCCAGGGGACACCGGCCCTCCAGGACCGAGTTTGGGCACCCCTGCCCTAAGTGAATGAGAACTTCAAAGCTTAACCCGGCATATAACAGAAATTCTATTTTGTACACAGTTTTTGTAAATCTCTGCGAGATTGCAGAGTCTTCTCTCAGCTGAGAACTTCTATTATGAGAACTTCTGATTTATATCAATGGCAATACCATGTTTTTGAGCATGTACCATCGTAGCACCATGTAATTCTTTCACTTATAGTCCCATGTGAATGGTTATTACTCAGTATATAACTGAAACTGCCTTATCATCATCATCATCACTATCATTATGTTGTTGTTGTCCTGTGTTCATGACCCAATTAATTGCTATTGTATTATTAACTATTTTTAAAATAATAACATGTGCATCAGTTATTATCATTTTGTTGTTGTTGTTCTGATCATGATCCAGTTCATTGTTATTGTATGATTACATATTATTACAATTGTGTTTGCAGTATTATTACATTTTGGTGTCATTAATATTAAAATGAAAAACTCTGCCGTTGTGTGTGTGTGTATTGGTTTGATACTAAGATATCGGGAGTTGTGCCCATTAAACTCCTGAACTCTGGCTGTCAGGTTTCAGTGCTATTGTCAAGCAGAACTTGCAAATCAAGTTTGTGTGACATACCTCACCTACGACTAATGCGCCAACAGTGTGGGAAAAGAGAGAAAAAAACACCCCGACGGGATTTTCTGAACTTATCCACTTTATATCTTAGTCTTATTTAGGTACATTAATACAGGCTTAAATTGTAACATTGTTTACTCCACTAAAAGAACTTCTTACGAAATCTTGAATTCCACACTCCGTGTACATTTCAAGACAGCTACGCGGCAAAACTAATCGCTCCAAACCTTTGGCTCGAACAGCCGCGTAAAAAAGCAGTGGGCCCCGTGCGCCGGTCGCGTCGCGACTTTAGCAGTGTACATGGGGTGTCAACCGCTTGATTAGCAGTTTCTCCAAAAGAACGCGTCCCGCCGCTGTTTGTTCATGTTAAACACTTTATCTGCTCCGTAACTTTACATTAACGTAGTATGTAATAGTATAAAATGGGAATTTTGGGATAGTTTGGGAATGTGTGGAGATGACCCACCTTCTCTCCCTGAAGCGGCTGTAATACCCAACAGCAGCAGCAGGACCCAGACGAGCCCAAAACTTTTGTCTGCCTCCATCGATTAGTCCTCCATTAGTTAATAGTCCTCCAGCTCATACCCGGATCCCGTACACGTTACACAGATCCCCCTCGTGTAGTTTCGTTGCGTTAAATATACCTTTTTTCGTGTCTTTGTTATTTCCCGAATACCAACAACTTCCTGGCAGGAGCGAGTGCGCCTGACTCTCCAGTCAGTGTGTGTGTGCGCGCGCTCCCGCGGAGGAGTGGCAGTACAGATTGACTCCAGTATTACAGCAACATTCACGCAGGCCAGTTATGGAGTCGGGAGCAGTTTTAACAAGACCAAGGCTAGTAGTCATATTTTTGACTTCAGTGAATATTTCTCCTATTTATATTCAAATATATCGGCTTGAAAACCCAAAAAAGCTACTGAACATTTCCATCGTAATGCCCAGGAAATCAAGATCTCACTGAATACGCAAGACGTATGGAAGCCCGTTTCCGCCACTGAATACAAATTAAAAGAGGTGATTGCGACTTTTTATCTCACAATTCTGCCTTTTTTCCCTCAGAATTGCGTGATACAAACTCGCAATTCTGACGTTTTTTCCTCAGAACTGCGTTACAAACTCGCAATTCTGACTTTTTTTCCTCAGAATTGCGTGATACAAACTCGCAATTCTGACTTTTTTTCCTCAGAA